GGACCAAGAACCCCCCTTGGGTATGTAGTGGTAAAACTGAAATTAATGCTGGTGTAACCTGTCCACAATACTATAACACAGAGAGGAACTGAATAAAACTATGAAAACCGCAGAAAATTTAGAAACGAGTTCAGTTGAGAATAATCGAATCCCGTGTGGAGACGGGGTCGAATACCTCCACCCTAGCCCTGCGAGTCGTAGGAGGCGACGAAAAGGGAACTCTCGAATCTGAGAGTAAAATATGGTCGTGAGTCCCAAAAGACTAACTCCGTGGCCTGTAGTTCGCAAGCGAACTATACCGACCAAGCGATTGCCGCTTTTCGGCGAAGTTAGTGCCAACTTTAGCGGAGAGAGGGTGTGGCGTGGTCAGCGCAACGAATCTCCACGGCGGTTAATTTCGGTTTTCTAGACCGGAGCCGCTATTTCCTTGAAATAGCTCCTCAATTATCCTCACGATGCTGGATGGACCCTATTCCAGACCCACTACTTCTCAGAAAATCTGGTAGCGCCGGAAATGAAACCCAGGACCACTGGATCTGTGGACAGAAACTCTGTCCCCTAGATCACAGTAGCGATCTAACTGAGGAAAATCATTAAGAAAATCAGAATAGCCGGTATCCGAAAAAAAAATAATCGAACCACAAATTCCTGGAATAAGCTGCAAGATTGTCAACATTCAACCCCGGCATTCGGTGACCTTGAGGCTAATACATTTATATATTCGGTTTTAAGGCACGTTTGAAGATCATGCTTTGCTCTCAGAAACTGTTTCAATGGTGCATGCAGTTGACAAAACGATTTGGTTATACTTAAAGTCCTATGGCAACTAAGGGGAGATCGAGAAACTGAATTTTGTCTTCAAATATTTAAACTTTAAATTAAATATTTGTATAAAATTATTTATTTTCTGGGAATTCTTTATCGTCCTCGTTTTACTTAAAACCCGCAATCAGAGACTAGCTCTATCGATTGGGCCCAACTGAGTAGTTTCCCCCTGAAGATGGAGTCTTATAAACATTGTGTTTTAAATAAAAACAGGATGATGAATAATGTCCATAAACACTGTAATAAAGTTTTAAGTATTTTTGTGTTTGCTGAATAAAATCATCCTGTGTGTAACAAACACAGCAGCATAAAATTTACATAAATTATGCTGACTTCTAAAATTACCAGTCAGCTATACCTGAACTGTTCACCAATAAATTACGGCCAATAACAGGAAGAAATGACAATTGAATAGGTCATTTCCCGTTAGCCAATGCAATTAAGAAAGAGACAGATACAAGGAAGAGAGAGAGACAGACAGACAGAAGAAACGTAATATGCGAAAAGGAACAAAACGGGGCTATGTCTTGACAGATTTCCGTTATAACGGGATATATAGAGAAGATTTAGGACACTCTTGCACTGCAACTACATGGAACTTAATTATTAGAAGAATAATTATAAATACGTTTCGCCACAAAAATTACAGTTACGATGTTTCATATATGTACAATTCACAACGTGCTTAACAAATTACTCACTTACTTACTCATGGAGCTGAGCCCTTCTGGAGGAGCTGTCAATTCTCCAGATACTCAAGAATTTCCCACCATTTTATGAAACCCGAAGGATCATTACCGTGTTCACAAGAAAATGAATGCACAATATCCATGCACCAATTGCTGTCTTCTTTGTCCATATTGATTCTTTCCGGTCCTGTCTGTCTCACTTTGATCCAAGTTTCCCTCATGTGGTTCACTCTGCTTACTTGGCTTACTCTTCCAACCTGAAGATGAGACAGTACGTTCCTCCGAAACGGCGATATAAGTTATCATAACCGAACAAACTAATTCGGAGATAGAGCTCTAAGCTTATATTCGGTAGGTCCTCGGTTTGAATCTCGGCCCATACACCGTATAGCCTGAGGTTTTCGTGGTTTTCCTCAGTTATTCCAGGTATATTCCTAGATAGTACTTCGATTATGCGATGACCGCTACCGCTTCCTTCCAAATCCTTTCTAATTTATTAGTCATCCCGCAATACAACGCTTCATAGTCTCAGTACCGAAATCGTTGTTATACAACAAACGAAAAAATACAAGACGTCATATTTCTTCATAGTCACTGCTGTGAGATCTTCACGTTCATGCGCTGAGCTACTGAACCATAAACCTCACGGATCCCTCGTTCTATATACCAGCAGTGTGTTGCATTTCCTCTTCCGCTCCTTTATTTCTTGCAAGTCGCGTCCGAGCTCCACAATAAGAAATATCTTCAGTGTTCTGTGTCTGCTTCCTTGAACTTCATGCGGTAAACTCATCCAGTTTCGTTACATATTTTGTTACACGACGCTTTAACATCTCCAAGAGCTGAGACGTGTTTTCCACATCACCGCCATGATCATCGCTTGAATGGATGGCGACACCACATGACTGCTGAGTTACGCATGCGCAGCAACATTAAAGCAGTTCACGCAACTGAAGAGGCCGCGGTGCAGTATTAAGTCTGCAATGATGATAATGGCGGCGGTGGTGGTTGTAGTAGTAGTATTTTTTTTATTGCTAGTGGGTGGGACTAAGTCCCTTGTACTGCGGCCACTTCTGGCCTATTGTACCAGCCCCAGATGATAGGTGAGGGTGATTGTGGAGCAATTGGTGGAATGAAGATTGGCAGGGGAAACCGAAGTACTCGGAGAAAACCTGCCCCATCGCCACTTTGTTCACCATAAATCCCACTTGCCCAGACCCAGGATCGAACCCGGGCCGCCGTGGTGGGAAGCCAGCGACTAACCGTTTAAGTTATGGCGCGGCCTAAAGGACAACTTAAAGTTTTGCTTAATGCTTGACGCAATTTAGAATAACATCTAAAGAAATGCAAAACTGGTATATAAATCAGCATAATAATCTGTGGTCAGATATATTTGTGCAGGCGGTGGGAAATTTCTTTCGTTGGCAGCTGTTTCTGTGATGCTGGATAAACTCGAACTTATAACGTAGCGATATCTTTGTTTATCATGTTATTATTTTTATATATTTATTCGTGGCTTATTTAGGATAATTTCGTAGCTTAGGTTTGTTAGTATCGATTGATAGAACAGTTACTGTGTACAGAATTGGAAGAAATGTGGAATAATATTGTTGCAATATAATTTAAAGAAATATCTTGGCATATTCTTGGAAAAACAGAAGAAAATCATGAAAACCTCAGTTAAGATTGTCTCTGAAGCGACCTCCGTAGTCTAGAGGTAACGTTCCCACCTCATGACTCGTGGTACGCGGGTTCAAATACCCTGCGGAGGTCGTCGAATTTTTAAGGGCGGAAAAATTCAGTAAACAAGTCCTCCTGGAGGGACTTTAAGCTGTGTGTCCCGTGTCGTAACTTTACGGCACGTAAAAGAACCTCATATCCCCAAAGGGGATCACTGAGCCAAATTCCAGGACGTTTCCCGCCCAATAATAGTCTCTAAGGCCTCTGATAGATGTGGGAAGCATTATAGACACCGCTAAGCAAGTGGCCGAACTCGCTTGCTCGGCGGGACTGATGGTACGCACCATTTATCGGTTGGGTATAGAGACTGGTAGAATATCATAGAGGGAAGCACAACAGATCAAACTGGTCGCGGTGCATGGGGAAACCCACCCTCTCTAAATAACTAACTAACTAAGATTGTCTCTGGGTCTTCGTTTGAACAAGGTACCTCCAACATATCAAACAGAATTTGCTGATGATGTTTGACCAAATTCTTAACACAATTTGTATGAAATTATTTGTGATACGAATGCGTACTGAGCTATAATAGGAGTGTTCTGATCATTTTGGCAAAAACTTGTGTTTTTCTCTTTTTAAAAATATTAATGTTAAACTTCTCCATGTTGTACAAATATGTCGTGCACGGAAATACAGGCAGTTTAATTTCTGAACGAACTTGTTTCTTGATAATATCGCTGAAAAATAATTCTGTTGCTATTTCATGACAGTGCGAGTTATTCGCTGTTCTTATCAGCGACAGTTACGAACTGCTAGGTGAACACTGAAACAAATGAAGGCTTTCGTTTCTTAAATAAATCTCAGGAGTGAATCTGTTAAGAAACGTCTAAGTGGCAGAGCAGTGCAACTTCTCTCTCCTAAAACCACGTACACTCAGAATAACATAAGACACAGATATATGTAGATCTGCTTAAGATCCACACATTTTCAAATACATATTTTAATAACTAATTTAAAAAAATAAAATTATTTTCTGACTCTACACAACATGATCGGAGGCACGCGGTAGTGTAGTTGGTTGAGGCACTATGCTACAAGCCGGAAGGTCACTGGGTCGCCTAATACTTCCAGCCGCACTATGCCCCTGGGGTCGACTCAGCCTCTAACAGAAATGAGTACCAGGAATCTTCCTGGGGAGTAAAGCGCAGCCAGCGCGTAAGGCTGACAAACTTACCGCCATCTGTGAGCGGATTGTCTAGAAAATGTAGGACTCTCAACGGCTCACAACCCTACGGGTCTCCATGGCCTGTTACAGGATAGCTTTACTTAACCTCACCGCCATCTGTGAGCCGATTGTCTAGATAATGTGGGATGCTCAATGTCTCACAACCCTATGGGCCTCCACGGCCTGTTACAGGGATAGCTTTACTTTTTTTTTTTCTTTACCTATTGGATAGGAGGTTTAGTGATCCCCAGAGCTGGTCTGGCTCCTACGGAGTAAATAAAAATTCTTGTCCGTGCTGGGAATCAATCCCTTGTCGTCCAGCCCATAGCTTTTCGCTATACCGACTGAGCTATCCTGGCTCCCCATAAATATTTCATAACTGCATTTCAGCTTCACGACCTGACCGCTTTACCTTCTACGTTTAGACACAGTGCTCCTGTCTGGAATCGAACCTCAGCAGTGAAGCCGGTACGCTAGCCACTATACCTGCCCTCAGTGGATGGCTGTGTAAGTGGGGAGGGGGGCACGTGCCGATCTAGGAGCGGATTCAGTAGTTACTACGAGGCAGTGAGTGTGTGGCGAAGGATGCCGCAGGAAGGGCACGGCTTCGTGCTAAGTTGCTGCCAGTTCCTTCTCCGAAGACCGGCGCGAGCCCACTGCCTCGCAGTACTGCTCTTCGTCTGCATCTGCCTCACTGTCGCTGGGTTTCTGAACACGGACTTACCGCCGGTGTCCGTTACCGCGGTGCCCTCCTCTGTCAGCATGGAAGATACCGTCAACACTGCCCACAGAGCTGAGGCCGAGCTGAACACGCTGGTACGTACTCTTGCTGTCTTAGGTACGCCTTCGGAAATGGAAGGTTCTGATATGTGGAATTGTGATGTTGATCTTTAGGTGTTGTATCGAAAATTCTTCTTCTGTGGACTGTTCATGAACGTTAAGGATAGTGAAATTAGTCCACAGGCCAGGGTTACTTTGCAGCTGCTAACTGAAAATGCTGTTATTCTTGGCATCATGTCTACGATCACATCTTAATTCGTTACGGTATATTTATGTATGTCTAGAGCCGTGTTAACGCAGTTGGTATAGCGATGGGCTAAGGGCTGGGTGGCCGGACTTCCATTCCATACTGGGGCACGGATTTTTTTCTCTTCTCCACAGCGTTCAGAATGCTCTGTGACCCATCCAGCCTCTTATTAAATGTGAGGGATTTACCCGGGGGTAAATCTTTCGGTGTGTGAAGCTGAAAACTAACCTCAATCTAGTCCCAAGGTTAAGAACAACGGAGTTATACCTACACTCTCCCGTTCATCTTCATTGAATGGTGCTTAAATATTTAAGAACATGACCAAATTTACCTTTACTTTAAGAGTATATCACGTACAGTTAAAGCAGTGATATTCGGTCCTGATTGATCAGCTCTACTAACCGGAAATTCAATAATTGTGATTATGATAAGTAAGACCGTGAAATGTTTTCTTGCTATTTGTTAGCTTATATATACACCGTGTCAGGACGGGGGCACGCGGTAGCGTAGTTGGCTGAGGCACTATGCAACAGGCCGGAAGGTCGCTGGTTCAAGTCCTGGTTAAGTGTTAATTTCAATTGACTTAATCCTTCCAACCGCACTCTAGCCCTAGTGTCGGCTCACCTCTAACAGAAACGAGTACCAGGAGTCTTCTTGGGATTAAACGTAAAGCTGACAACCTTACCGCCATCTGTGAGCCTAATATCTATAAAATGTGGGAGCCTCGACGTCTCACAGGGCTATGAGCCTTCACGTCTTGTTACGTTTTTCTACCTTGGATATGTAATTACTGTTAAAATGGGCATGAAAATCATAGCAGGGAGATCACAACAGGATATAAAGTGACAAATCAAATGCTTGTGTCGTCCATGAGTTTGATAGGTAAGCAGATAAACATTAGGTTAAATTTCTAATGTGCAGAAAATTAACGACATTCGGCAACACTTCGATCCCGGATTTGCCGGACACCAGCACTTATACCTCCACTCCCCCCTATGCCTTCGTGGTGTGAGGTTTAATTATATAATTAAGTACAGAGATAATTATAATTTTAATTTACATCCTGTCATGCATCTTCACGTAATCATTATCATCAGCAAAACAGCCCTTTTTGAAACATGGCCTTACTTAGAAGATTCTGCCACATTTGATTCGGTTTTCACTTCTTTGGAATTCGAAACAATATTTTTTTTATAGAGCAAGGTTTTCTGTCTTACGTCAAACCCCCAAACCGGAGGACCAGACCTCTGTATGTATGCCTCGCAATAACAGGTTGTCCCAGTTACACTCCCAGATTACCTTTGTCGCCTTGTACGACTCGAAAGGCTGAAGTGGAGGCATTCTAACACGCGTCCATACGTGGAAAGCTTTATATTCTACTGAATCTGCGATTCAGTTCATGTGCTGTGTTTTACATTTTTTTTTCCCTTGGCACTACAGCCCCAGTGGGCCTAGGCCTACCTCCATGAACTCCGTTCACTTCGGTTTTTCTAGATCTTATACACTCGGTATGACTCCTTGGGCGGGTGATCAGCTCGTCGCAAGGACTCTACCTGTAGACAAACACAGAAAAACGCACACAAACATCCATGCCCTGAGTGGGATCCGAAACCACGGTCCCGGCTTCCGAGCGCGGGCAGACAG